CATCTGTTTGTCCACCGGTTGGCTGGCACCGTCGTTTGTAGTCTGGCGGTAGTCTGGTTGGTCTGACGGTTTGCCGGCTAACACGTATCACTCTTTCAAACGTGACTGATCTAGTCTGGTTCTGATCAGCTACTTTTGGTGCCGTAAGCCAACCAGTACTATGCATTATCGGATCGGCTTCCACTTTGCATGCACCCGGTAGTAACATCATGGCCCGGACTAACCACAAATACAAACTATAAAACAATGTTCAATGTAGTCTCGTTTGTTCAATGGGCATTTACCTTCTCATCTCTCTTTGTATTATATCTCCGCATTCCGTAGGGAGGCTTTCGCTTATTATGACTGCTATCCTGAAGTTTGAATTTCGGGCAGCATTACCCTGAAGCGAGAACTTCCTCACGGCAACACATGGAAACATCTACAGCAAACTCACTTCCTAATGCATAGGAGTTTTTGCTTGAGGAGGGTTTATTATAACCTGGAACTGCTATATAAATGCAGAAACTTACAATTATCCTCAAGCGTTTACACTTTAAGTTTTCCCCTAAAAGGTCAAACGAAAACAGTAATCACCCATCGCAGGAATGTAACGTTTCTGCCCTCTACTGCTAAAAAGCACATTTGAAGACAAAGAGCAAAGTGGCCCAATAGGAAAGCTAAATTATAGACCCCGCACAGAAAGCTATCAAATGAAAATGAAAACCCATGTCATTAGCTCCCAATCCAGAGAGCGGAAAGTTCCAACCACTTAGCATAACCAATGATAAAGAGATAATCAAACGACGAAAATGTAGCAAAAAAATGTTTCTTTCCGGGAGGGCACCCTCCAGTGAATGCAAAGCGCAAAAAAAGACGCTTGTCCCTGCATCCTCGAGCCATTGCTAAGTTTCAAGCTTCCGGATATGTAGGGTTTAGCGTTTGGTCAGTAGATTTCCGCCCATGGTTACCTTCACCATATTACTCTTCGAGAATCCTTCCGTGATTGTTGCATGGACAATGAGGATCAAGTCCATATGCTCCTGGGCAGTATGGTTCCGCATGTCTCGGAAAAACGCTGATCTGGCAAATATATGGACATGACGATAGTGCTGAAGCTCTCTCAGCCGCAATTTGCATAACCCAAGACTCGTGCAGGGGACGTAAAGCGGTCAGTGGCGGCTGTCCTCGTGTGACGGCGCCTAGAATCTCGGTTTGCCAAGTGAGTGCCAATTCGTAGTTCTGCGGGTTTTCAGGTAGGATGGGCGTGTCTTGCTCCAATATCAACTTCTTCCCTAGCTGGTACCTCATATAGCACAACCGTTGCATCCATCTCGATTCTATTCCACTCCAGATTCTGGCAGAAGTGTTGGTTGCACCTGGGGGAGGAGGCCCTTGATACCTCCCCTCACTCATGACTTCCATCCAGCTGAAACCCGGACCGACTCCCCATGTGTACCATCTCGCCTGTGGGTCGAGTGTCATAGGGTTTGCATTCCAACACCCTGGCACCCAACACTTTGACTCCGTCGTTACCTTAGCATCCGCGTATTGCCCACAGGAGAGCGGTTCCCATATTCTCGTGAGATCGTCTTCAAAGGTGATCTTGCAAATGTTGCGATTGGTTTTGGATGCACTCCACTGTCGACATTGTTTCTCACGTATCATGAGGAAAATATGCCCACATCCGGGCTTGGCATTCGAATTGTATATTGGGTCCTCAATGACAGGGCCCGAAAAATACTCCTTGAAGTGGCACATAGTTGATTATGCGTATGGTTTCGTTGTTTCTAGATTCCGCAGGAATTAATTACAATGTCCCGATAGATGATCCCCTGTAGAGGAAAGTTATAAGCATAAGGGTTTGCCCGTTAAAAAAACTCACATTGACCCAATGATCATATATTCCCTTCCGACTTGCGTAGGCACGAGAACAAGATTTTGTGGGAGTTGTCTGGTTCACGAGTTGGGGTTTATAGGAGTAATGAGTATTTTAAAAAAAAACCAATATTGGGTAGGGGGAAAGTTTAGGATGTTACCAGCAGTCACGAAAATATTTATAATACCTCAGCTCAGCGAAAATTCTTAGACCATTCCATTGTGGAACAACCTAGTCTGGTCCACCGCTACTGTATACCCTAAAATGAACGTTATATGCAACCAGACTACTTTACATATGGGAGCAATCGACTATACAGATAGCTGCCACATCTAGATACATGTGGTGTATAGTCTGGTTTGTGGTGTATATGGTTCGATAGTCTGGTTGGATGGTTCGAAGTTGCAGGAGTTATTTTTATGCACAATACTCTCTTGCATCTGCATGGTGTGGCCTACTTATGTACTTGTGCTGGCTTGTAGAAACTTAATCACAGACCCGTTGTGCATTGTACTTATGCACATATCCATACACCCAGACCTATACCAGAAGTACCGGTAGCACAAGTTTGCTGATATACTTAGTAGTATTCATATCCCCATACTCTAAAGGTATGATCCTCGCTACTACATACTGAACATTACATGTGTACACTGAAGTCTCTCTAGTAGTCTGGTTGGCACGTACACTATTTGGTACACTGAAGATAAGTACCATACATCACGGGCCTATGCACCATCACCGGCAAATGCATCAATTCACACGATCAACTTCTAGCAGCCCGAGACCTAGTTACACGATACACAGGAGATCCAGTGCTTCTTCCAACAATAATAGGAGATACAGGACGAGGTCTGAGAGGAGTTTGGGGTAGGGAGGGAGGTTGCCGTCGCCTAGGCAGGGGGGTAGACACCATAATAACTGACTCAAGCGAGGAGTCGGGATCCACTGGAGCTTCAAAATCAGATTCCCAATCCTCCATCTCACATCCAGATCCACTAGATGATAGCTCGGTGATACTAGATTCTGGAGATTCTTCAAAGTGGACAGATACCTTCCGCCGCTGAGGTGCTTTGCCTTTATTCTTCCGAGACACTGTCTGAGACATCCTCTGTGCACGGGCCTCTCGTGCAGCTTCCTTCTTCTTCTCAGCACGATCGCGTTGTTCATAAAGCTTCTGAAGTACAGTGCCATCTAGGACAGTACCTTCTTCAGTACTAAGCTCCTTTCTATTGACTGGTGCGGCCAATTTTTGTGCGTTTTGCCACTTTTTTAGAGTGTCTCGTTCCAGTTGTAGATCCTTATCTGTGTTGATAGCAAACCGCTCCAAAGAATCAATCAACTCAACCAATTCCGCTCGATTAAGATCTTGATCCTTACGTTGGAGCAATAGCTTAGCCTGTCTAGCTTTATGTAGCAGCGCAGTTGAGTTGCGAGGTGTAGGAGGGATAGGTGGTGGAGATATCGATTTTGGTTTTTCGGGGTCTTGGTAGGTTGGTAGCTTAATTAAAACTTTCCGTGGATTTGATGGAATTAGGCCACTGCCTCGCCAGGCTCCAAGAATATTCTCCTTCGTATAGGTTTGAGCTCGAGCCTTAACCAATAATGGTAGGAAATTTCCTTTGTTGATAGCCACATTCCCAAAGCGGGTTAGGCGATCAACCTCCTTACCATATGCTTTCTGCAAAGGTGAAAAGAGTCCAACATCTAAAGGCTGAAGAAGATGTGTTGTGTGTGATGGAAGGCAATAGGCAACAATACGATGTGAAATACAATATTCAACAAACTCAATATGAATATGTATTTCACAACCATCGAGTATTAAAAATCGATATTGTTGTAGTGAAGTCAAGCGTCCTTTGGTGATATTGTCAAAATGCTTTAACTATGCAATACTCAAGAAGCTATTATTCCATCCTGTTTTACTATACGTAAACTTCCAATCCTTGCATGTATCGATTAAGGAGCCCAGATGCTGATACCAACCTATATAATGTGCTACCCCCTTATAAATTACTAATGGAAGTAATACCTGGCCATCTCCAGATATTATCTCAACCACCGTAATTAATTCCCGTGTACCATCAGTTGCCATCTTCCCAGTCATACCTCTTTCTCTTCGCTGACATATTACCTTTACCCAATCGGAAATTCCTTGTCGAAACCCCTTCTCATCTATATTGTAGGTATTTGCATCGGTAATAGAATATTTCCTCCGCACCTGCTGAACTTTCGCAAAATGACGCTGGATAAGCTGAGGATCACTTTGTTTTATGTGCCGTTTATCAAAGTTACTGCTTAGCTTTGAAACTAGCTCAGGGTGGCGATTCAAGAAGTGAGTTAAATAATTTTTTCCGATCTTCTTTTCAAAATATCCTTCAATCACCTCTTCCTCCAGACCAAGCTCTGGATGCTTCAATAGTACAATTGCTTCCTTCACATGACGCACTCGAGGTGGAAATCCAAATTCCTCTAGTCGAACAATCCATCTGACTATTGCTCTCTCTTCTGCGGGTGTCAAAAGCTGTCGATGTGTATTCGCTAATTGCCGAGATTTTGCGCCTTTTAAACGCCTGCGTACAGTGGAATAATGAACGCCGTAAGCTTCTGCAGCCTTTCGCATAGATTTGAACCATCCTTGTTGTACCCCCTCGCAAGCACTCTTTATTGCTTTCTCTCGGTCAGCTTCCTCCTTAGCTATCTGAACTCGTCGATGCTTAAGCTTGCCCATTACTAACTCCATCACTTTATTAGCATAAAACTCAATATTTAGCACTCCGATTTGGCTTACCGCCTATTCTATTGCTTTCTCCGGTGCGTATTTGACATAATACGTATAGCGTTGGTGCGATCTGGGTTGATATTACCCCGCAGGGGCCCCCACTATCTCAAAGCAGGGATCGCGTGGGGGCTGATGCACAGGCACGTGATAATGCACTAACCCGTGATGGATGGTAGGTGCGGCCAGACTGTATTAGTTCTTGCCACAATACCGCTAGATCTCGCTTGAGTCGTCTGTTTGGCACAAGCCCCCCCACCAATCTATGTAATCGGGTTACTGAATTGGAAATATTCAAGTCTAACCACAAGCTCCTTGTAAAGGTCATTAATCTTGTCTATGACGAGTATAATACCATCATCAGGCGAGATGGCCGAGTTGGTTATGGCGCCAGGTTAAGGAGCATCCTTAGCAATATATATCCTGGTAGGGAAACCTGCGTGGGTTCAAGTCCCACTCTCGTCATGTATATTTTTTCTTTTTTGGTTCACGCCATAACGTAAATCCGGCCGCATCTAACAAGCATGCCATAAATAATCCCTCTTGCGACTGGCTTGTGCCAACCAGACTATAAACAATCCCGGTGCCAGAAAGATTCTCACAATGACAATACAATTGAGAATGCAGCATGCGCCTAACGTCCTTGTACGAGGGATCATTGCCTCTCACCATAACCATCCCACTAGTTCCGGTGTGGTTTGCAATGAGTACCACCAGTCTGGTTGGCACGAGTACCACATGGCTGTAACCAGACTAACATGGCTTCATTTAGATGCCGGTCTGGATTGTCAATTGCGATGTTGAATTAGTTGTTGCCAAGTCAAGGCGTGATATTAGTAAAGCAAATGAATTCACGATTCTAAATGACCGTTGTAAAGTAACTGGTGCAAATCTCTTTGTTTTATTTTTAAAAATGGATTAATTTATCATCGATAATGCATGTCAGTCTAGCTCCGAATGTAGATGAAATTTCCAAACCTGTTGCAGGTAGGTTGCTTGAAGCTGAACAAGGCCCCTCAAGGAGAATATCCAGACAATCTCACCAGTCCTACCATAAATAGCACCAGAACTTTGATTTAGAAGTTACTCATGACGGGGCATTTGTGATCAGAAAACAGTCTGTGTGCTGTACCTAAGAAGCTTATGTTGGGGTTGTTTCTCTCACCCAACGGAGTACCGTAGAAACTCGCGGACGAGGAACAATGTATATGAAAGTAACCTTGAATAAGACGCTGAGAAGTGCCGGGGCAGATTTTTACTTGGGGGTTGTATCATGAATAACAACGGTATTGGACGGTAGTATGTTCTAGCACAAACGCATAGAACATCAATGTTTGTATACAAAATCCCCAGCTTAGTTCGGTCGGAGCTGCGGAATCCGAGAGCTCTGACTCTGATGATTCAGACAGTACAGAAGGCGAATCTGATGCGGAACCTGAGCCAGTAAGACTTCCGCCTCACATTCAGTTGGGTGAAGAGATTATTTAAAAGGGCGGCCGGCCTAGTGGAGATTGTAATCACCTGCCAGTGTTTTAAAAAGAATATATATAACTGTAATGGAATACCATACATTAGAAAGTAACTAACCGTGAATAAGATGTGTAGATAGCTTTTGGCAAAACCGCTGTACTGTAAAAAAAACACTGCAGTCTTGTCCGCTAGTTTCTACGGTATAAAAGGTCTTATACAAATGCTTCGGAAGGATCAACAGCCCCTGCACCTGTACTTGAATAATCGAGGGCTCGGTCATGGGGTTTTCTGAGAAATCTGCCTGGAAGCACATGGCTGAGGTTATAATGCCAAACACCTCGACATCTGGGGTAACCAATGATCTCGGAGTAGGTTTGGTAGTCATGAAGACGGAGTTCTCGAAGGGCACAATACGCGTTGCTTCAAGCTATGACACCTGTTATTTTTGGTAAAGCTTTGGCCGTATGCACCACTCCACTCTTTGCATCTTGAAACCGAATTCAATAAAAATGAAAATAAAGATAATAAGCACTCCTGCCCTAGCCTGTTTGTGCGCTGTCAGCGGTTGAATATATGGAGAAACTCTGTGCATTGTCGTACGGAAAAACATGACACCCGCTGAATATCACCCTTAGTTTGACAACCTGTATATCGAGAAGATGATCTGGTGTAACTCACGCTAAGTAAGGCTCAGTCCTTGGGGCTCAGTAGATGAAACTAAAGGTCAGATGTTAGTGTATCGATGTGGAAGGAGATGGAACCCCGTGTGGGTGATAATGCAGGTTGTACGGGTTGAGCCTACTTACTCGATTCTTCATTTGCAATGTTCCGTGCTCCAACTCCGGAGAGTAAGTCGGGACCGTAAGAATGCCGGCTGTATTCTAAGCATCCCATATTCCGAATCTTCATAATTCCACTCTGGTAATATCCTAGGTTGAAACCTTGTACCTAATAATATCCTATCACATACCCATTCCACTCTGTAAGGTTGCAATCATATCTTCCACGACTCCCGGAACTGGCGGTATTATCCATCTGACTCCGAGGTAGCTCCATGTCGCTCCTTGAAAGAGCCAATTTCCGATTACGCGGCCATCCATGGTGATTCCATCATTCTCTTCATTCCTAGGTTGTGCTGGATTCTCGTCACCTGGGCAAACGGGGTCCTCAGCAGTCAGATTGTACCCAACAGGAACCAGAGACTGTGGAACCTCTGTAGGAAGAAAATAGTTCTGTTGTTCCGTAGTGGGGGTGACATCGACATCCTTGGACTCTCGCCTAGGGGGTGTAGTGTCTGAGGTGACACAACGCGTCTCGCCACAAGGACACTTCTCGAGGATAACCCAGTTCTCGGTATCGTCTCTAGGGTGCAAAAGCACTCCACTTCTTGAAACCGGGGTTGACTGTGAACGGGAATTGGTTTTCGGTGGTGAACTTTGTATTTGGCCCATAGTCGCTTGTAGTATGGTGTAAGCTCCTGATTTACCCCCAAACCTGGAGCTCCATTTCCAGTCAGCTACCGTGCTAGTATGAATACAGTACCTAGAAGAACTGGAGGCGAGTGAGTCCCACTCTCTGGAGTTAACTTGACTTTATCCTTGGGCATTCGAGAAACGTCTGGACTTGCTGTCTCGGTCTCGTGGTGGTCTTTGTTGAGGTCTTTAATGTCGTAGACTAGAGTTCAGGAGTGGGGTGGTACTTAGGCAAGTACAAACGACTCACTCTTTTTGTAGGTCTTTTACCCGATTAGTCTTTTTCCACTAGCATTCCCTGTAGGATTTTTCTCACGACTAGCCTGGCAATTTTGAATAATCTGAAACTGACTTCCTCTCACTTTCCTCCCTTTTCAACTAGTTGAAAGGTTCCCCCCTCACTCTTCCACCTAAAAGTTATAAATAGCTCCCAAGTTCTCCGTGGATATTCGTACGGCTTCGCTTAAAATTGTAATTGGTGGGGTAATGGGCGGAATTACAGCCCCAATGTTGTTTTCGTAAGTTAATAACTATCTTTAGAGTCAGAGATCTACTCTGGGGCCAAAACTCACCCGAAAATCACCCGGATATCACGCGTCCGTTGGTAATGGTATCATCTTCTTCCGCACTTCCCCTAGCGATCAACAGACTCAAACACATCTTCTGGTGCCGTGGTTAAAGCCTCCAACAAACGGGTTTTTAATCGACATCCCATACCAAGCTCGAAGAGCTGTATTTTTCTCGGTGGGTATCTTGCGCCAACCAGACTAGGGTATCTTCTGAAGTACTCAAGGCATTTCGGATGTCAAAGGAGGGACGGGGAACCAGACTAGGGACGGGACAGCGAGTACTCTCCCATCTTAGCAGTAAGTTCTTTCCAGTCTCCACCCTAATACATAGGGGCTATTATTTCAATCCCTGTCAATATAAAGTGGAGGGTACGCTGTTCATCTATTGCTCTGAAATTCCTCCCAACCCTTAAGACATAGGGGAGAGAGTGTCCCTTTAGGGTGAGAGACAGACTCACCCCTCGCCGTTTATAGTTTTTGGTTCTGGTGGAAGAATCTTTTTTCGCCCTAACTGGCAATAAGAAAATTGAGAGGTTTCGCTGAGGCTTTCTAGCAAAAAAAGGGGGCTAATAACTTAACTTTTCTTCCCTTGCCTATGGGAACGGAGGCTCTTCCCTTTTCATCCTTCTTGACCCCAATGTGAGAGTATCGGAGCTTTTTACGTGTAGTCGTAGGAGGGCTCTTCGAGTGTACTAAAGTGAGACCTTTCTTCCTGTCCCAGCATCTATATCTCTGATATTCAGGGTTGCTTTCTAATACTTTTCTGAATTGAAGGTCAACAGGTCAGTGTCTCAAATCGCTATTATTTATGTTCGGTAAGAGGGCGTTCCCTCTTCTCAGAAGGCATGTCCCTCATATTGGAAGTTATTCTAGTTGCTCTCAAGCGAGAAACCTAGAGAAAATGGTAGGCCATACAAATTTTTTCATTTCCCCATCTCTCTTTGCTTTGTGGGTAGCCCCAAACTGAACGTCCTTCTTACACCGATTCCCCTGAGACTACCCAGAACCATGTTCGGCGGAATCGAAGAATACATGCCTGTGTTCATTTAACTCTCTCTTGGGACCAGGCAAAAACCTTTTGAAACACACCGTCAAATCAAATTTATTCCTGTTCTTCTCAGTGAGCTGAGCATGAGGCAGTTGGAGCCTACGAGGCTCCATCATTTTATCTAGTCAAGGAAAGAAGGGGTGTAGCTCATGTGGCGAAGTCGATCTTGATCAGAGCTGTGCAGGCACCGCTCCAGCCTACGTACGCCCAAAAGCCATGGTGATCTAGCCACACAAGAACAAGCGGCGAAGGATGCGGCGTACATACTGTACACATAGACCATGTATGTAGTCTATGTGAGCGATCAGTACACCGATGAAGTTGTGAAGGTACGCTATGTCCCCTATCTGTTGCATATATGCGGGACTGATGCGCGACTGAAGCGGCTATCTTACTGACTTTTGGGCGAGGACTGTAAATACCTGCCAGACCCCCTCTACTTCCAAGGACTTTAGGGTAGTACTAATGCCGTTATGGTGGTCATAAGTCCCGGGACCACCATAAGAAACTGGTGAGAACTGATCTTTGACCTTCAGCCGGGTACGACCGATCAAAAGCAGCAACCTGCCCCGGCGCTCCCTAAAGCGATGCTCTTTAAAGCTCCCTTCCTCGGGTAGAGTTCTTCGCGGGATCTAACGCCATTGCGCAATGCAGCTTCCCGTTTTCTCCCGGCTGTGCACAGCCAATTCATGTGGGAAGGGAGATATACAGGTGGATAGAAAGAACACCATAGTTACACTGTAGGCGGCGGTGAACCATCACTGATCATCGTGAAGTATTCTCTTTTTTTTTATACCCATCATTAGGGACGGTCCAGTTACGGATGGCCCTAAGATAATTAGAGATATCTTAATTGATTTCTCAAAGATCCACCAGGCCTTCCGACCGCCGTCAAGGTGATTCACC